GAGCCCGACGACGACGCCGACGCGGCCGACGCAGAGTTGGACGACGAGGAGAGGGACGAGACGCCCGAGGCCGAGCCGGCCGAGCCGCCCGCGGCCGAGGTGGAGAGGGAGGAGGAGGCGGAGACGGGGGTGGAGGCGAGGAGCGGGGTGTAGGACGAGGAGAAGGAGGTCGAGGGCGAGGGCGGGGGTGTGTGCTGGGCGGACTGATGCGGGGTGTTGGGCGGCGTGGTGGTGGTCGAGTTGGCGGCCGACGACGAGGCCGACGACGCGGCCGATGACGCGGAGGAAACCGGGGAGGCGTGAGAGGGGGCGTTTGCGGGGGGCGCGAAGGAGGGCGCGATCTGAAGCTGGTCGTGCATGAAGGTCATGAAGTCCTTCACAAAATTGGGCGGCGGCGACCTGAACAGCTGCGTGAAGTACAGCGGCGCGTGCACCGACGCCAGCAGCTGCAGGATCATCGCCGCCTTCTGCTTCTTTGTTCTGTTTTGGCGTTGGTTGGTTGTTGGCGTTGTTGGCGTTGTTCGTCCGTCAGTGTGTGTCGTGTGTTCTGTCGTGATAGAACGTGTTTGTGAGGGGGAGAGGGGGGGGGTACCGTTTGATTTTGTACAGAATATAGTGGAAAATAACAGTGAAGAGGTTGCCTCGTACGACGTCGGAGCGACACCGGACGTAGTGGCGGATGATCCACGAGATCCCGCCGGGGCATGCGCGCAGGAGCAACTTCACGTTGAGCTCCTGCTTGTCCGTATATCTGTGCGTGGTGCGGCCAACAAACAAACCAAACCAAACAAACCAAACAAACGTTGGCAATACTCTCAACAACCCAACCCAACCCAACCCAACCCAAACAAGATAATGGGCTCGGGTGGTGGTGGTGGTGGGTGGTGGGTGGTGGGGGGAGGGGAACGTACAGCATGTTGACGAAGCAGCGCATGAGTTGTCTGTACATCTCGTCGGAGAGGGTCTCGATGCTGGTGATGATCGTCGGTAGGATTCGCGGGTCCAGCGAGCCCAGCCTGTCCGCGCCCCACGCCCCAACAAGCCGACGACGAATCACGCGACACGCCACGTGAAGACAGGAGAGCGTAAGTGAATGCAAGGAATGGCGTCGGGTTGGGGGGGGGATGAGGCGCAAAAACGACGCACTTGGCTTTGTCGAGACGCCCCTGGTTGGTGATGAAGAACAAGGCACAATTAAGGGCCGCCGACCACACCTGCAACACGACACCGACCATGTTAACACGCCAGGGAAACGCGACAAGACACGATCAACAACATATGTATACACACACACACACACACATGACGACACGCACACAAGGACGCATGAGCATGGCGAGGTGTGGTGGTGGGGTGTGGTGCCTTTTCGTCCTTCTCGCCCTTGTGGAAGAGGAAGAGGAGCATCTCCTTGACCACGGCGAACAGGTCCTCCTGGATCGCCTGGATGCGCTTGTACGCGTCCGTCTCCCGGCCACCACCCTCGCCTGGCGCGCACACACGCACACGCACACGCAATCATAGAAGTGAGTGACTGGAGCTCCTAAGCAAGTAGTGTTCCCCCCCCCGCGCGCGCGACGAGTTGTTGGGGGGAGGAGGGTAAGAAAGAAAGAAAGAAAGAAAGAAAGAAAGAAGAGCGGAGGAAAGCCAAGGCTCGTACCGCCTTCCTCGGGGAGGGTGGCGATCTCCTCGAGCAGGTTCATGTGGATCGAAAGGTTCCACAGCAGATTGAACGCGTGGACCTGCAGCAGCAGCAGCAGCAGCAGCAGCAGCAGCCGCATGGGGATGAAGGCGCTGATGATCAGTCCACCGTCGCGCAACAGCACAGCCCAGCACAGCGATTCGTGGGAGAATGTTTGTGAGTGGGGGGTGGGGTGGGGTGGGGGGTGCGCCACCTTGGTGTGGGTCTGTGAGCTCTCGAGCATCTCGAAGAGCAGGGAGAGCAGCAGTCGCGACGCCGCATCGCCGTCGCTGCAGTACATGTCCACCAGCAGCTGCAGCCGGTTTACGCAAAGAACTCAACCAGTGAGCGAAGGATCGAATGCTACGAAGATAATAATAAACAAATACTAATAATAATGCCCATCGTGTGGATGGGAGACCCGGGAGAGAGGAGAGCAGCGGGGGCCGCACCTTGATGAGGATCTTGGAGGCGATGAGGCAGCTCTCGTGGTCCTCTTGCGGAGACGACACCACGGAGTTGACCACTTGCTCCATTTCCTGGTCACGAACCATATTTTGCATCAGTGATCTAAATGGCCCATATAAAACTCATAACTAACTAATCAAGAGAAAAAACAACCAAATAAAATCGACGAATGTGGAGCAAGAGATAGGACGACGGGGGGGGGCACCTCGGGTGGCAGTGAGAGCGGGAGCTGGTCCTTGTAGTAGATATACTGGAAGAGCTGCACGCCCTTCCTTCGCAGAGTCACCAGGCCTGCCTGCTTGTACAGCTGCTCCTCCTCCCTGCGCCGCGCGCATCACCAAAGTCATTTGCTGTCAGTGCGCTGTTGCTGCTACACTGCGCAACGTGGATGATATATCTATATATCTATATATCCATATATCTATATATCCATATCTAGATATGTCTAAAGACGGATGATGCATATGCACGCGTGATGGGTTGAGCGCACTGTTTCTTGGCCATGGACACGATCTTGATGTGGTTGCGCACAGTCTCGGAGTCGTGGATGCGCAGATCATCGGACACGTCGGAACCTGGTTGGGGTGTTCAAGTTCAACAACGACGGCGCGCCATATGAGAGGGAAAGGTTAGACGGCGCCGGCTGTAAGCAGGCAGAGGCCTCGGAGAGTACCTTTGACTCCCGCGCTGGTCGATAACCGGCGGAGTTGGCTGCCAAACACCGAGGTGGTCGCCAAGCTGACATCTTCGACTGAACGCCGAATCGGATGAGATCAACCGTCGATTAGCGGAAGACACGGCTCATTGTGTGTCGTGTGTGTTTTGTGTGTGTCGTGGATGTACTTGGGAGAGTGGCATCGCATTGGGAGGCGTTGAGGGCCAGGAAATCGGCGATGAGCTCCTGTGAGTTGTCGCGCGCTCGGTCGCGGTCGCCGCCGATGCCCTTGATGGAGTGGTGGTCGGGCGAGCTGCTGCC